CCGTCACATTCCTGTCTATTCTTCGGACGAACTCAAAATAATGGGCATACCTCCACCCCTCGAAAGTTATCGCTGACTCAGCCATGTTTATGCAGCACTGCACGCGGAGATGTGGACGCGCAAATCGCGCAGATTACGTACATATAAACCTGCGGCGGAAACCCCTCTTGTCTGTCAGTGTGATGACTGATTTTATAAAAGTAACGAAGTAACGCGTGTCGGGGCAATGTTAGTAACTGTAGTGTGATTACTGAATTATAAAAGTAACGTGTTACACTACTCCGTTACCGACAAAAGTAATATTGTTACACCCAACTCTGGTCATCTGTATGTGGATGCTTGACATGTATTCAATATTTTTTGTTTGTTTATTATTACCGTCTTATATTTATATATATATTTTCTTTTTTAAATCTGAATCAAAATTAGTTTATTGCCATGTAGGTTAACTTTAGACAGTCATTTGCTTTGGTGTGAATGGTGCATACATAACATTAACATAACATTCTTGTTCCTAGTCTGTTATTATTAATACTGAATGAGTTGAATTAAAAATGGAAAAACAATGAAATGTGTTTTAAACATTTCACACAGGAGCATACATTTTAGTTTTACGAGACATTTTATGGACTGTTCTTCCAAAGTGTCAATGAAGTGCTTTGCCTCTGAACACAGAGTCTTTGCCACTCACTTACTTTAAAACCCCTACCATTAAAAGTGTCCTTCCTTTTACAGTTATTACCTCTCACTCTCTCCTCGCAGTTATTTCTGCTCTGGCTTCGGATGAAGTTTAACACTCATCTCTAAAAAGCTCATCCTTATTCCTGACCAGCAAGAAAGTCATTTAATTACCTGAAGAAGAAGAAGTAAAGATGACAGCGATAGCGCCACTGTAATAGATTTTCTTGCTGGGTGTCAACGGTCCCACACTTGCAGTCCACGTTCAGAGATTAAAGGGCGGTCAAACACACTCTGCCATCCAAATATTGGAAAAGGGTTAGCGTAATGTAGCTCTTATGTTAAGTCAATGAGTTGTTGGAAGTTGTCATTACAAAATGACTAGGCCTTTGAATAGGACAAGCATGATATAGCACTTTGTGAGTGTGTGCATATGTGTGTGTGGGTGCATGTGTGGTAGTGTGAGTGTGTGTGTCTGTATGTGCATGAGTGTGTGAGTGTGTGTGTGGGTGAGTGTGTCTGTAGGGATGAGGCAAAGGCTTTCAGACAATCTGCTCCATTTACCTCCTGCTGGGCCACCAGCCGAATCCATTTACATCTCTGAGCCGTTGTGAGGCTGACAGCCCTGCACACACACATGCACACACACATGCACACACACACAGTCCAGTATATAGAAAGTAAAATCCCAGCTTGCAGGTTACTGTGGTGCACACAGGTTGATATGTCTGCAGCGTCTCCGTAGTGTGAAACTGTGTCATGACCTTTGTCACTCACTTTCCTTTAGTGCGTTGGGTTCTCTTTGGCAAACTGTTTAAATGTGAAATATTATGCTAAATTCAATATTTCACCTTTTCTTGTGTTCTTGCATCCTTAAAATAAAACCCACAACAGTTAAAAAAAACTGATATATATATACACCGTATCTACTGTAGAAATTATTCAACATAAAACGACTTTGAGCATTACATTTTAGCAACAACAAGCATTACAGGTCATTCATACCTCCTAACGTATTTATAACTTGTTCATTTCTTGCACTTAGCCATTATGTTCAGCCTAATGACACCTCTCATCGATACATCAAACACAGTAGAAACACCCACTCGGAAAGCACTTCATTACCAGTACACACACACACAGAAATATAATCAATACTCTGCAATCACAGGCCGTTCTTCATTAGCTTTCTCGCTCACCTCCAGCCTTCGTGGTCGAGTGACACTGCAGGCTTACGCTGGATTAACGGACCAAACAACGGAGTCGGGCTAAAGACTTCCTCAACCAGCGAACAAGCTCTTTGTCATTTGAATGTAAACACACTGGATTAAGTGGAGGAAAAGGGGGCGGGGCCTGACTGTTGACAGGTGAGGGAATCATTAACTGGAGCGACCTCGGGGGAAAGATCAATGAACTTTAAACTGAGTTCATAGAAAGAGGGTCTTTTTTGCTTGTGCTTATATCTTTTTTACGCGAGGTGTTCTTATCATTTTAAGCCTTTCTTATTAAAATAAAGTTTTTGAAATACACAAGCAGCCATTTAGCAGATCAGAAGAAGGATCACAAATGAAACTGTTGGAGCATTTTATTGTTTTATTGGAGTGACAAAGCAATATTGCAGCCTTATCGCTTTCTCCTCCAAAGAAAGAAAAGGATCTAATTTCAGTGCTTCCTCGCACTATGAAAAATGTTCCCTTAGCGGCAAACAGAAAAGCATTTCCCTGATTTGTCAATATGATGTAGGCGTTAACTTCCATATTTTACTAAGCAGTACATGTTCCACTATGCAGAGGAAAGTGCAGGTGAGCAGAAAATCCCTCAGAGGACTGTAAATCAAAAAAGAGGATTAAAAATCAAGATGGGAAACAGGGCCCAAATGACATTGAAGCAGCAAGGAGGACACTGATTTGTTAGCAAAAATAAGCACTGAGAAGGATAAATAAAACTCTGGTTAAATCTCCTGAAGCCATCTAGTTAGTTTGTCCTGCATTTTAAGCAACCAAATTTCCGAAATTGACTTTAATACACGAGATGATTGGGCTTCGGGTGGAATATTCATGGTGTGAGTCAGAGCACTTCACCGTAAGAGACTCGAGTGGGAGTGAGTAGCGATGGTTAGTTTGTTTTGGAGCTCAGGGCTATTTCCTGGATTCCTGTGCGCTCTCTCTTTCTCTCTGCCATGAGCTGGCTGATCTGACAGGTCATTGACCTGCCCAGTGGTCTGAGGTATGACTCACTCATCAGCTAAATCCCTCTGCCCCCCCCCCCCCCCCGGTGCAGACCACCCCTAATTCTCTGTATTTCTACTGCAATACAAGCATAACAAAAAAAAAGCTTTTGGATTTAAGGCATACGATATGGCATGCATCTTTGCTTTGACTTATAATGCTTGAAATACATGAGTTTTGTGTTTTAAAGAGGACATGATGCTAATTTTCAAGTTCATATTTGTATGTGGTGTCTCTACTGTGACATGTCTCCATGCTTTAATGTTCAAAAAGCTCTTTATTTTTCTCATACTGCCTGTGCTGCAGCACCTCTTTTCACCCTCTGTCTGAAACCAGAGCCCAGTCTGCTCTGATTGGTTAGCTTAGCCGGCTCTGTTGTGATTGGTCAGCCGCTTAGAGATGTCCCGCCCCTTAGCCTATCATTTTCAATGTGTTGGAGCGCCAGCCAATAGAAGAGTGTTACATTGTGATGATATTATGTTACGGAAGTAAACAAAGTATTCCAACGGAGGCGTTTCAGGCACTTTCAATTTAACATACAGGAAAGAGAAAACTCCAAAAACCATAAAAGGGCCTCTTTAAGCAACGTAGACAAACAAACCGAGTTAATAAACAAATGAAAATCACATGTGCACAAATGGATAGATAAATCCAGAAACACACAACTACTGATGTTATATAATGCATGTGCTTGCCCACATTCACGCTAGCACAGAAGTATATTTAGCATAAATATATATTCATAATTTATCATCCTATTCATTTTTAAAAACATGTCCTCATTATGCTCAAACACTAAGAGATGGTATAAATAACTAGTAATGGTGAATCAGTATTCTGTTGGTTGGGCTCCAGCAGCCTTTAGAGGTTAGAGCCTATTACAGTATCTGACAGAGAAAGAGATCGGAGGTCTGCCCGCCCCTCGGGAACGAGGATTGATGGAGCTCATTTGAGACTGGGTCACATCTGAAACCTTGTGATAAATGTAATGATGTCTCTGCTGCTGAGAGAAGACCAGCTGCATGACATGAGGAAAAATATGTGATAACGTCGAATATCAAGATAACGATATTATTGGGATTACCTCATTATTAAAGTGTTTATTGAAATATTAAAGTATTCTCAATTGTGCATTTCTGCTACTTTTAGCATACTTCTTAATTGAACTGTAGACAAAAGAAACACTAATGAAAAATAAGAATAATTTAAAGCATTAGATAAAAGTTTAAAGAATAGTTTTATTTCAAAGTGAAACTCTGTTATTATTATTATTATTATTATTATTAGATTAATTTGAACAATTAAGTCAGTGTACGTGTACATACATTTAAAGTAAAATAAGCAACAATTCAAAAACTAAGTGAAACGTGCCATTTGTGCACTAAAACTTCTTAATCAAAAGTACTCAATTACCTGCCTTGTATTACTTTTAATTACAAGAAAACTATATCAAGATATATAAAGTTATCAAGATCTGAAATTATCAATATCAATATAGAGTGTAGGTTGGAGTCATTTGTTAAAAATACAGTATGGCTAATCAACTCAACATCCTTTTATACTCTAGGAGTGTTTTGGTGAGATAATCACACCTTGGTTCTTAGGAGAACAATTACTGTCTGCTTCTATCTGTCACAATGACCTACAAACATGCTTTCCCATTCACTAACGTTTATTATTCTGCCACACAGGCAAAACCTGTTTCCTGGCTCTGTTAAAACGAGGGCCAAACGTACATTCCTGATGAACCAGTTGGGCCACAACCTCAGTTCAGGAAAGACTAAACCCTCCAACACCTTGGATTACTTTACAATGAACAAGGATGAATCAGATCAGATTAACCAGATCAACAACTGTCCCAAACGGCACTTACGAATTCCAGGAAGAAAAAAAAAGTAAGTTGTACTCGCATTGACCCCTGAGGGACACCAAAGATTAACGTCAACAGAATAACTTTCATTGCAGATGCACTGAATCTTGTCCCAGTGCCAAAATAATAAATACTTAATGAGATACAAGAACCCCTAACAAGTAACAGAGATGTAACAGCATTTCAAATAGTTTTTGGCAGACGTTGGAGTTTTGGTAGCGTACCTGCAGGGTGAATGGTAGAAGGGATATCCATGATGAGGAATGTGATTGCAGTATCCAGATTGATTCCACATGATGCCTCTTTTTGTTGACGATAGTTCAGAAGTATTGCCGCTTTTTCTTTCTATTTCTAGTGCTGTGGAATCAGACACGGAGTCACATTAATCAGCGTCTCTTCTCCTGCCTCTCGAGTGGCTCCATGGGGAGGAAAACGAGAGATGGTGGCGGTGGGTTTGAGAGCAGGGATTACCGAGAGATGAGGTGAGAAAATGAGCTGAGGGGCGAGCTCACACAAGGAGGGGATGATGTCAGGTGAGTCAAGTCTGGTGTGGGAAATGAACACCTGGAAATGAAGTCTACTCAGCAGAGTCTCAGACGACTGCCCCAGGTGAGGTCTGACATCACAGGTTACTCCTTTAATTCAGCCTGCAGTAAGTCATTTCCCCTCCCGTCTCAGGTGTAATCAGGTTTAACAGATGTCTTTGAGGTTAACCTTCCTGAGCTGTATCTTTTTGCCTGTTAAATCATGCGTAATGTGTCTCAACCTCCCATCTCAATTATTAAACTTCCAGGGTTTCCGACTCTCGGGCGCAGATCAAACAGTGTTCAAGACGAGATTTCAGAGACCTCAGTTTCTCCAGCCATCCCTGATGCCAAGCAGGATCTGTTTATCTCTTTTGCATGTGTAGTAAATTCCTTCCAAAGTTCACAAGCTCTATAAATCCATCTCCTCTTGACACGAACAGGTTTAAAATCCACAGCACCTGCGTCCCTCCGCTGTTTTTTAGTTTGTCTCAAAGCCGGCTCCGGCACAGACGCTTATTTTTCCAATCAGAAGCTTCCCACCGGCTCTTCACCCTCACGAAACAACAGCGCTGAGTGACTGAGCATACTCAGAGAGAGAGAGAGAGGGAAGAGGAAAGAGGGAGGTGGCACAGAGCGAGAGCGAATTTGTCAGGAATGAGAGCAAGAAAAAAAACGAGAAAGAGGTAAACAGAGCGGAGCTGCATTCCTGTTCCCGCCTCACGCTCATCTGGCAGGATACCCACCGCTGAGAGAGAAGTGAGGAAGAGAGGGAGAAAGAGAGAGGAGGGGGGATGAAGTGAGGAGAGAGGGAGAGAGGAGGGGGGATGAAGTGAGGAGAGAGGGAGAGACCATGACGGTGTTTACATGCACACACAGAAAATCTGATTGCATGGTAATTTAAGATCTGTATGTAAATCTGTCAGAGCGCATGTAAACACCTGGCTAACCTGAGCCAGGGCCATCGTGATTGTTGTCAGCTGTTCAGACACGATACAGTATGCAAAGTACTCTGGTTTTGTAAACAGAGGAAAAAAGGGAAAATATGCTTCACCTTAAATTGCATTTTTTCAGCTACTAAATGATCAATTTCTGCAGGTGTAGGGTCTGAGGGGTTTTCAGTAGCTTTATAAACTCATCTGAGAATAAATAAATATTGTCTTTGCTGGAAATGTTTGCAACTCATTGGGATGCAAGTGAAAAGATTATAGGATAAGTTGATTATCCAGCAACGTTGTAGATAACAGACAATTTGTTTAACTTCGCCAAAACTCAAAACTCTCTTGTCAAATGTGAAGAATTTCATTTGTTTGGTATTGTTATTTGATACTAGTGCCCATACAATACCTACATTTCTGTACTAATATTAAGAGACCATGACGGTGTTTACATGCACACAAAAAATCTGATTGCATGTGGAGTGCATGTAAACATATGCTAACCTGTGCCAGGGTTGCTATGATTGATGTCAGCTGTGGATCTGTGCAAAGTATTCTGAATTTGTAAACAGATATCTCTGGAAGAATATGTATTCGCCTCAAATGCATTTCTTTAGTTACGAAGTAAGATAAGATGACTAATAACACAAAGGTTGGGTATTTTTATTTATTACACGTTTCTGTACTAATATTAAAGTATTGAATACGTCTTATATTTGTAGATAGATTTTTTTAAATCCCACTAAATTGATCTTTACATCGAAAAATAACACAAACATTGGTCTTGGTTATTGAGTTATTTGGGACACATTTGCATTATCCTGATATAATAACATGTATAACACTTGCTATAATTTGATTATATATGGCATCTCCAGCACTAAAGTAAATGGCATATTGGCATATATTCATATATACAATGTAGTAAGTGTTATAGTGTCTTTTGTATATTTGAATTAAGTGTAAATACTTTATTCTTTTAAATTATAAATAGTTGTGGTTTTTTACATTTTCTTTTTATAGTCGTTATATTTTGGACCTTCTCTTACAACTTATTTTCTTATGTGGTTACATTTGCACCATCATACACCAAGGAAAATTCCATGTATGTGTAAACGTACCAGGCAATAAACTTGATCCTGATTCTGTGAGAAAATAAACAAAACAAAAGAGTAAATAGAAAGAAAGGAGAGCTAAAGTCAGACACACACAGAGCACGATGTGTTGGAGTGAGCAGCAGGTTATTCAGTGTGACTCAGACTTCCAAATCAGCTCCTGAAGCAGCAGGTGAGAGGGCAGCTCTGAGCAGCTCTGAGTAGCTAAACAGAGACATTTCCCCGGAGAGATGCACTACTCCACTGCCCTACTAATCAGAGCACAGACCTGACCTGCTGCAAGGACGACTCTGTGCACCTGGGAACAGACGCTGACTCTGTGCACCTGGGAACAGACGGGGACTCCGTGCCCCTGGGAACAGACGGGGACTTCACTCACTGCGGGTCAAAGTCCAGACGTGTAATCTGATATGAAGACAGAGTTCCCACAGGGAGGCGCTGGCTTGTTAGGCTAAAACCACACTGGATTAACTCAGGGGTGTTTGTTTTCCTGTTGTACTCACTTTGGGATCTCCATCTTTTGCAATACTAATCATTTATTAACAAAATGTGCCAATTGGTGGAGGATTGTGACCAATGGTGGGATGTAACGAGCTGTAAACAAGTACAGTTTTGACGTACCTGAGTATTTTAATTTCAATCTGCTTTTACTTCTACTCCACTACTTTCTAATGAACTAATTGTTGCACTTTTTACTCCACTACAGTTATTTTTGTATCTACATGCAGATATTGATAATCCAAAACCAAAGGGATACAATCATTCTTTCTTTGGAAGTGTTTCCTTGTACGATGTGAGGGTCCAAGGACAGAGGGTGTCGTATTGTCATATTGATATTCTGTACAAACTGTGAAGTCCACTGAGACAAATGTAACATTTGTGATATTGGGCTATATAAATAAACATTGATTGATTGAATCAGGTAACATTGTTTTTATATTGTGATGCTTAGATAGGATTACATTTTTTACAGTTAATAAGCAATCATCATTTTTAAAGTTACCCTCCCATCCCTGATCTTGACATAAGGTGTTATCACGGAGGAGGAAATATTTTCTGGTTGGGTTTTTCCCCTTAAGATCATGCATAGCTGTTCATTTATGACCCCGTTATGACACTGTTACTATCATCTTGCATCACTGTCGCGTCCCGTGTGAAGTGAAAATCCCTCAGACTAATGAGGGAAGAGGCTCGTTTTACAAGCCAGTGGCTTTTTGCAAGAAAGTGCTTCCGATCAGAGGCGGAAAAACAGCAGCACAGCCGGGGAATGTTTGCTCACGATTGTTCATGGCATTCATCAAACTGTAAATGTTGTTATCCAAAAAGCATCCTGTAGTTCTGGGCAGAATTCAGCTCATTTAATGTAATAAAGAAAGATTGACTGGAGAGGTCCTGCTGCATTTGGGGCTTCCACTTCAGATATTCTGCAGTGACTCCAACCAGACACAAGTTTAACTGATAAAAGCAGGATAAGCTTTTACCGTACAGATCAATTAATTAACGTCACAAACAATATCAGAAAACAACACAAAAGCCAGATACCTCTAAAAATCATGGCTTCCAACGTAAGATGACAAACCTTAGCTTTTTCTTGTGGCGCACATCTAAGAAAGTGAATACTCATTGGTGTGCAAGTAAAAAGATACATTGATAATTCAGCAACTTTGTTTATAATCAGGTCATTGTTTCACAAATCTTTTAAGCAGCATGTGAGGAATGTCTTTTTCAGATATCATAGTAGACAAAACGTACGAGTTGTTTCTCTTTAGAATATAATAGAAGCGTGAGTCTTACATAGTGATGACAACATGTTCAGATAAGCTTTTAGTTGTCTCCGTCCGGAAAATCTCAGGTCCTGGAGGTTTTACGTCCAAAACAGAAAAGAGTTAGATTTTGAAAGCCAGATATTTCAACCCATGACGAAACCAACGGTATTGATTAGGGATGCTCCGATCGATCGGCCGCCGATCGATATCGGCCGATATTCACTCTCTGCCGATCGATCGGTGCTCTCTAAAAAGGCCGATCGCGAGAGCCAATCGCATGACGTAAAATTATGACGTAAAATACAAAATACGCAAAACAAGCTCGCAGTATTTTAAGGTGTCAGAAAAAGACAATAAAATAGCGGTATGCAACGTGTGTGAAGCAGAAATCCTGCAGCTCCACCCGCTGTGACGGACCGGTGAGCGGAGCGAAACACACACTAAGAGTTAGACCTAACACACCTAGCTATTTTATCTCCCTCTGGAACAAGCTAAACTAGTTATACATATATTTATTCTTCACTGTCGGGTCACTCATTACTGGATCAGTGAGCTGCATGAGACGATACTGACAGGCTGTCAGGAGAGAGAGAGAGAGAGAGAGAGAGAGAGAGGAAAAGAGAGCGCTTCCTCTCATTTCTCCCGTGTTATCCAAAGTTAATGTAAACTTGAATAATGTACTTCCTTTGAATGTAATAATTATGTTGGTTGTTGTTTGTGGAAGCGCCAGTGAATGAGCCCCATTATCTGAGTTGTAAACATCACTTTAAAAATGGAAGATCCCCATAGGCCCCGCCCACTCGATCGGATCGGCGATCGGTATCGGCCGATACTGATTCCGGCGATCGGCCCCAAAATTGGCGATCGGAGCATCCCTAATATTAATGAACAACTATTATGTTTCTGCTGATGGGCAGTTTGTGAAACCAATAGAAAGGGTTGCAGGTGAGTGGTGCTTTTAAGGATTTTTCATTGGGCTCAGATGTGACCTTGACAGCAGGCGGAGTGTGTTCAGAGGTTCTGTGTGTTTGTGGATGTTTTTTGAGCATTTAAAAGCAATGAAGGCTGTAGAAGGCAGATAAGGGGAACCACAGGCCAAATCACACTCCTGCCATCGCACCCACTGACACAGTGATTGAACACAGCTGTCAGCGGTCTGCATGACAACAACCGTTCTGTGTGTGTGTGTGTGTGTGTGTGTGTGTCTTTCTCTCCTCTGCAAATGCATGAATGTGTATATAAATATCTTTGTATGTGTATTTTACATCTGTGCGTCAGTGAGACTGTGCAGAGATAGTCCTGCCCTCGTGTGTGTGTGTGTGTGTGTGTGTGTGTGTGTGTGTGTGTGTGTGTGTCCACCTGCCTCTTCAAACAAAGAGAATAAAGACAGAGGCTGGAGAAAGGTCCCCTGTGTTTCCCTACTCTGATTAGATTGTGCTGGAATTACATTTCACAACAAAAACAAACAGCGGGGGACACGGGCAGGCCTGCACCCCCCCCCCTCCCATCCCTCCCACCGCCTCGCTTCTTTTTATGCCTCCCAATGCTTCCCTTCCCTTCTCTATCCCAACATCTCGAAATATGGACTTTTTCAATATCCAAATCGCAGTAAGGAACATTTTCTAAATGAAAATATGTCAAAAAGATCTGAATGAAGTATTGTGATGCAGAGAAGTGCCGACCTACAAACAGTATTTT